TCTCTCTCTCTCTCTCTCTCTCTCTCTCTCTCTCTCACACACACACACACACACACACACACACACACACACACACACACACACACACACACTTGCACACACACACACGATCACAGGATTCGGGGCGGAGACAATCAGGAGAAACAATCGGGATCGGCAGAAGATGAGGAGCATAACACAAGACATTATCCTCAGCGGTTCTGACCCCGGCAGCCATATAGCACCGACCGTCAAGCTGAAGAAGCCTGCAAGTAAAAGGGCCTTTACCCGATACAGCCCCTGCCCGACGAAAGCAACATATTGGGGTACCTCGCCCAGAGCCCAGTTCGTGAAAGCAGATCAAACGACCTGTTCTCCGAGTCAAAAGTCACATCCTAACTAGAGCAAAGGACATTGTCAAAGGTCACAGTTGTGCCCTGGACGAACAGTTGCAATATCTAAAATATTTGAGTCGTATCTGTTCATCCAGGGGGTGTGTGAGTCATGTCTATTCATGCAGAGATGTGTCTGTACGTGCAGTCACTGTGTCTGTTCGTGCAGTAAGGATGTCTGTTCGTGCAAAAGATGTGTCTGTCTAAACGGAAGTCAAAGAGTTCAGTCCCAGTTCGGATTCAAGTCAGAAAGGAAGTCTAGATTCAGATTAGGAGTCCGAAATCAAGGCCTGAAGGCCGCAGCAGCAGCAACCCTTGAAGGAAAAAGGTCTGGGACACATACACAGAGGCTGGGACTGGGAAAGGACCCAGGACAGACAAGATTCAGCCCTCGTTTGGGGAGGCCAGCACTATAAGAAACGAGACTGCCTCCCCACATGACAGATTTTCCACTGGCATTGATGCGTGGAAGTGCTGCGGCACTTGTGCGCTAGCTGGCTGGACAGGTGCTGGCTGAAGTAGAGCTGCGCCAGGAAGAAGGGAGGCTGGGCGCTGGCTGCAGGGAATCCATAGCTGCGCCAGCCTATGTTAGTAGTAGAGAGTTAGTGAGTAGGATGGCTATGAGTGACATTCAAAGTAGATCTTCGTAGGTGAGAGTGTGCATGCAGAGTGAAGGGAGAGAACCAAGACATAGTTCTAGAGAGAGGAGATCCAGAGAGAGAGAAGACAGGCAGGAAGTGAATCTGGATATGTTGCATACTTACCTGTTGGCGCCATATATGTAATCCGAAGAAGGATGCTGGCTAAGCCAGATCCCATGCTGTTGTATGATGAGAGAGACTATCTTTTGTTGGCGCTGAATTCTGGAACTCATGATACTCTTTGTATTAAGTGACATTGTTAATATAAGCTGCGCTACTTGGTTCATTTCTCACCTCAATCTGGTTTTGAGTGAAGCCACTTTGTATGTGTGATGACATGTATGCATGCGATGTAATACTGTCAAGCAAGCTGTGAACAGTCAGGTTCCTTGCACAAGCAGGCCTGCCATGTCCCTGCTTTTCCATTGTTTTTTTTCTCTATTTTCCTTTTTGTCCCCCCCGTTTTTTCTTTTCCCTTTCTTTTTCTTTTGCTTTTTTCTTTTCCTTTCCTTTTCTCTTTTTCCTTTGTCGTTTCTGTTTCCCTTTCCCTTTCCTTCTCCCTTTTCCCTTTTCTTCTTTTCCTTTTTTTTCCTATTTTCTTGTCCCCCTTTTCCCTTTTTTGTCTTTGTCTTTTTCTTTCCCTTTCCTTTTCTTTTTCTTTTTCTTTTTTCTTTTTTCTTTTTTTCTTTTGTCTTTTTTCTCTTTTTTTCTCTCTTTTTTTCTTTTTTTCTCTCTTTTTTTTTCTTTTTTCTTTCGTTCTTTCTTTCCTTCTTTCTTTCTTTCTTTATTTCTCTCTCTCTTTTTTTTCGCTTTCCGGTAACAGCAGGTCCTCCAGGAGGAAGGGACCAAGCTGAGTTTCCAATAAAACTGGCCCTATCAGCAGCCGAAAGGGTACTCTGCTCAGCATTTCCGAGACATGAATATCGTGGCCAGGCGTGGGTTCGCCCGGGCTAATTGGACTTCGATGATATCCTGTTCGACAGACAGCAGCGCAAGCCTCGAAGGGCAATTAGCAAGAAGGCGCCAGAAAAAGCGCTTGGGCGGGGTGTCGTTTCAAAAGGTAGTCAGTAACAGTAGGCCCGAATGGTAAGTAGGCGTAGTATTTAGGGAGTACTGTAGCAGTAACCAAGCATCACCATCGAAGCGGACGCGACAATCCGCCGGTTTTCTCGGAAGACTTCTGACGCACTCTTCAGCAAGGCAGTTTTGAACGGCCGACATGGACTTCCCCTTGGACCTCGATGCGCTTGCGGCCCAAAGGGAGGTGCACGATCAGGAGACGGTATTACTCTGAGCCACACTTCCTCGATCCTCGCAGCATGGAGTGCCCAGCGCCGTCGTCCCTTCCACTGGAGCAGCTTCCCGCAGCAGCAGCACAGCACCTTGATTTCCTAGGACCGCACCGTCCCTCCTCGCTCGCCTTAACTCTTCTCGCACTAGCCCTCGCAGCTATGTTCTTGCTAGCACTCATCCCCAACCTTCTCATCCTCCGCCTCCTCTTCGTTCGGTGTCAATCAGAGCACATACTTCTCGCACCTGCTGTACACCTTAGGACGCATCTTTGTGCGCTTATTTGCACAACCTGCTTTATCGCCACAGCAGCAACGATATGTGTAGTCACGCTCGGAGTCGTGGCTAGCCTAATCACGGGGTCTGCAGCGTGAAGAGGAGCGCAACATGGAAAGAGATAAGGAGGGCGCGACTGCGCACGCTGACGCGCTCTGTCTGCTCTCAACCTTTATGACTTTCTTAGCATTTCTCGCCTTTTTTCTTTTCATTGTCATGCTTCCACCACCGCAGCAACCCTGCACCTGTGCAGAACGCCATATCCGATCCTCAACAGCTTCTCCACCGCTCTATACCTCGCCCTCCCCTTCCACCCCCGCTTCCAAACCGTTTGAGATCATGCAAAGTCCCTTCGTATGTTGCATTCTGCTTGGTTCTACACTTTTTTATCATGATGTATGCGCTTCAAACAGTTGCTTGGTCTTACGTCCTTTTTGTCATGATGTATGCACTTCGAGCAGTAGCTTCTTACCTACAAACGTAAGGAACACATTTGTACCTCCCTTTTCCTTCTTACGGTGTTTTTTCAAATCTGGCTTTGCTTTGCGGTTTGTGCTAGTAGTTATAGGATTGTATTAGACAAGTCTCATATGATTAAATGACTGTCAAAAGCTGGTCAAATGATCCGGCATGACCTCTATACATTCGTTTTTAAGCACACATTTAGTCGCTTATGAATGCGTCCCCAGGCTTCCCCCTCCCATGCCCCGCCTCAGCGACTGCCTCTTCTTGGCCTAAGTATGGATTCGAACGGAATTTCCAACTTTTCGTCAATTAAATTGCTCTCTGATATTCCCGGTATGATTGCCTAAAGTTTCGCGAGGAATAGAAATCTGTTCTGAAGTTTGTTCTATGTAACAATGGCGCATGATCAAGTTTCCACACCCGAATGCTTAGCACAACTTTTGCAATCCGGTGGTGACTGCTATTCTTGCAGGATATAAGCTTATTATTAATTTCTTTTGGCATGTTACAATACTTCATAACAAATATCGGGTTTTCTCGACCAGAGGCTCGATGCAACACTTCGCAATAAGTCCTACTAGCATGATTTTTTCAGGATCAGGTCTCCTCAACCGGAGGCTTGGCACAATACTACGCAACAAATATCGATTACTATCAGTCTTAATATTATTATTATTTTTAACCGACCATCCTCATCCTCCATAAGAACCCTACGCATAACATATATATGAACCTCCGTGTCGGATTTATAGACTAGCAACGGTAGACCGATAGATCGGGAGACAGCCTGACACATAGGACCTTTCACTAACAGAACCCCTGCATGCTCCCCGCCGCATGAGCCATCAGCAGACGCAAAAAAAGGGAGCTGCTCACGAATGGTAAGGACGACATAGCAACCAACCCTCGAAAGAAACCCTGGAGCTCTCTAATTACCGGGGTGAACTCCGCATCGAGACAAAGAAGCCACCAACCCCTGACAAAATTCCGCAGTATGCCGACCAAACCAATGTCGGAGCTCCACCATCCACAGTCATTACATGGCATGGCGTGCGCAACATGCACACACCCAAAACACACACACCCACCTGATGCTGATTATGTCCTCAACATTGACCAGCGAAGATAGAAGCCCCTCTGATGCAGGTCGCTGGAGTGAAGCCCGACTATGGCGCCAAGGTAAGTCTCCACCTCTCTCGTGGCCAA